TTTCAGAGTTCTTATCTCCAAAATTTTACTCCTATTAATCACAAAATCTAAAGTAGGTGTTTTGTCCCCATAAAGAAGTTTGTAAACAAGTAAAATTTACATTTGGTCCAGTGGCAGGAGCTCAGACTAAGTCCCTGAAAGTCTCTAGTCCTGCAGGCTATCAAGGAACTAGAATGCAGCTCAGGCACAGATGGGATCACAGGCTGAAGTCTTCAGATGTGCCTCGTACTAAGTCATTCACATACTTGGCAAAAGCAAGCCAATTTCAAAATGCATACATTAACAAGGAAAGGTGTAGGCCTGCCAAGCTAGTTTTGCTACAGATTTTGACAGGCCAACTTTGTCCCTGTAAGAACATGGAAAAGACAGATCCCTTAAAGAAGGGCATCAGAAAAGCATCAGAATAATTGGTGACAAGCCAGACTTCATAAACAATTAGTCACAAGGAGATACAAATTCATCAAAATACCACACAATTGATCAGCTCTCCAGCAGACAGAAACAGATGAACATGTACTCTGACACTGTTCATTTCTAGTATAACTTGCCACTGCAGAGTTTTAAGGAAAAATTAACCACAAACCGAAGACAGTTCATCTCAGCCACCCTTTTCTTTTAGTTCTCCTGCTTCTTATAAAGCCACGTTCCTTAATGAAACTAACAGAGCTCTCAAGATCTTCACTGGTTCTTGAACTGAATTACATATTTGATACCTAGGCCAGAGGATCAGTCCCTGAAAAGCAAGAGTTCCCATTTTCTACTTGCAAGAACAGCAGCCTTTTTGCGCTGAGACGTGGTGGTAATAATCGCTCCCAGTTCAGACAAAACTCTACGGGGACTAAAATCACTATCATAAAATGATCATAGAACAGTTTGGGTTGGACGGGACCTTCAAAGACCAGCTAGTTCACGCCCCTGCCGTGGACAGGGACATCTTCCACTAGATCAGGTTGCTCAAAGCCCCATTCAACCTGACCTGGAACTTTTCCAAGGATGGGGCATCCACAACTCCTCCGGGCAGCCTGTCCTGGTGTCTCACCACCCTCACCGTAAAACATGCTCAAACTTTAGCTCAAGATTCTATTTTGAGATTGAGAAAACCTCAACTGGACACGAGCAACACACAGGAATCAGTTCAGCAGTGAGCTGGATAACTTCAGCAAAGTTGGAAGACTTCAGTTTTCAATACAGGAAACATCTCCTGCCCTCTGCCGGTTCGGCTAACCCAGCATGAAAGAGGCTCCTCTTCACACCTGCGGTCTCAAAGTCTGCACCTCAAATCCCACTCAGTCCTGATCTCCTGGCAACTGAAGAGACACCTGAGAAGTCAAGAAAGATTTGAGGTCTTCAAGTAGATTATATGCTTTCCAAATCATGGAACAAAGGCTCTAAATTAGGAAGAAATGGGAGATCACAACAGATCTTGACAGCCAGTGTTTATTGTTCCTTTAACTCAAGAGCATTTGGGGAAGGAAGACGAACTTTCTTTCCTCAATCTAGAATCAGGGAGAAGAAAAATCCTCAAGAACTATGCTCCTTGCCTTCCTGGTCCAGAAGAAAAGAGAATATGCAGGTGGTTCACAAAACAATAAAGTAACAACAGCAAAATCCAGCAGTGGCTACATCTCTACAGATAAATAAAACAGGGCCAGGAGACAAGCTTAGGCATGGGATCACTGGTCATTCACACTGCTTATTCCTTTGCAGCCTCCCTGGCGCGGTGCTGGCTCTGGCAAGAACCACAGGGAGGAGGTCACCAGGGACTGTTCCCAACGGACAGCATGGAAAACGTGACATCAAGTTAGTCTCCACTTATCTCAGAGGACTCACACCCTCAAGAACCCCTTCAAGACCTCATCCCACAACCCAGGGGTGTCCCATGTATGCTCCCAGAATTGTGTTATGAAAACACCACCCTGGTGGGCTGCAGCTGACATTCTTACAGACACAGGGGGGCACAGCCCCAGGCTCAACGACCTGCCAGGCCCAGTGCTGCACAGCATGGATGGGTTCAGTGGGTGCCATTTGTCCTTGCAATCAGAGAAGAGCTCTCAGCCCTGTTTTATTTTGCTGTTTAAGACATAGCCAGTGTTTTCCTCAAAAAGGACCTCTCCACAACAGGATAAGATGTTGTACATCCAGCTCCCCAGTGACTGTGATATAAACCTCAGGTATAAAGAAGGTTTCTGGAAAACAATGAAACATCAGTGAAAGCAATCCCAGGAAAGACTGAAGTGGCAGGATGAAAAAGGAAAGAAAGAAAAGCAACTGGAGATGTACTTTCATTTGCTGTGTCTGAACACCAGAAGGAGAGCAAACTTAACTAGACAAATGAAGACAGACCGACCAGAGGTCTAAGTCCAGATCTGCTTTCAACTCCCTACTCCACCACAGACTTCCTGGGACAACTTGGTGAAGTCATCTAACCTCATTTAATTTACTAATGAAAACTGAAATCTAGAAGAATAATCTCCCACAGTACTGCCAAAGCAGCTTTTTCATACTCCAGCAGCAAGACAACACACTTCAGAAACCTTCCTCAGAACAATTACAAAGGTAAAAAATTTATTCAAAACAGCTTGCAACTTCTAATAAAGCAAAGCACAAAAGGAAACTGCTCCAAACCCAAGGCACCTGCCATAAGCATCGCTGCAGTTTTGCAGGCATTTTCCCATTTACTTACAATCAGAATTCAAAACTGGTAGATTTATATGGCAGGTCTCCCTTTCATGTGCAATTTTCCTTTGCTTCCTTACTATATTTTTCTTTGACAGCTCCCCACTTTGATTGGCAGAACAAGAAAATGCAGTAAAATAAAACCTTACTTTAGAAAGGCACAAGATTCTTCTCAGCAATAGTGATCAGAACTAGATGCTAAAAGCCACAAGCACTGCTCACATTAGTGATGAGAGGAAAAAATAAAAATGACAACTCTAATAATTTGAAGTGGTATTTAAGCAGCAACCCTTGCATGTTTTTAGAAGTTTACGTATAGCAATTTGTATTTTTTTGTTTCAGGCTTTGCTCCTCACTATGAGATACTTCATGGATGTGCTGGTTTTGGCTGGGATGGAGTTAATTTTCTTCCCAGTACCTAGTGTGGGGCTGTGTTTTGCATTTGTGCTGAAAACAGTGTTGATGTTTTTGTCACTGCTGAGCAGTGCTCACACAGCGTCAAGGCCTTTTCTGCTCCTCACCCCACCCCACCAGCGAGCAGGCTGGGGGTGCACAAGAAGTTGGGAGGGAACACAGCCGGGACAGCTGACCCCAACTGACCAAAGGGATATTCCACACCATATGACGTCATGCTCAGCACATAAAGCTGGGGGAAGAAGGAAGGGAGGATGTTTGGAGCGATGGCATTTTGTCTTCCCAAGTCACCGTTACGCATGATGGAGCCCTGCGTTCCTGGAGATGGCTGAACACCTGCCTGCCCATGGGAAGGAGTGAACGAATTCCTTGTTTTGCTTTGCTTACGTGCGCGGCTTTTGCTTTACCTGTTAAACTGTCTTTATCTCAACCCACGAGTTTTCTCACTTCTACTCTTCTGATTCTCTCTCCCATCCCATCGGGGGGAGTGAGCGAGCGGCTGTGTGGGGCTTAGCTGCTGGCTGGAGTTAAACCACAACAATGGATTATAGCTTTTTATAACCAGGTACTTAAATGTTGCTTTTAAATACCCAATAAAACCCCAAAAACCTATCCTGCCTCTACTGAAGTGGTTGATGCTCGGTACCCAACACTGAATTGAGCAAAATGCAGCAGGTGTGCCAAAAAAACCACAAACACACCCCCATTAACATGACCTTCGTCCCTGGTAGGAACATATGAAGCAGAACTTTACTGCAGAAGAATTAATAAGGCCTGAAAAAAGTATATTCACAAAGAAGAGTGGGAGTATTATTAATTCACAATTAGAGCATTACTTTATTTATATTTGTAAATATAAACTTTAAAAAATAAAATACTTCATTTAAGACTGAAATTTAAGTAACTTCATTAGGATGTTGATTTATCAAGTTCAATGATAAACTTTTCTGGCATTTTATTATTTAAAAGGAACAAAAACCCTATAAAATATCCAACCAAAACCCCAACCCCCTTCACAAACCAAAAAAAAACCCCCACACAAGCAGGGAGTGTGGAAAAAGAAAGGATATGGGAGAAAAAACAAAAAGGCAACCAAAAGAACAAACTTCCCTGCTCATGCCTTATTAGACATAAGGCTCCTAAACTGGACTAACGTATCAATTGCTTTTTACTGCTTAAAAGCCAAACAAGCATTAAATCCCTGTAGCTGATGAAGAGGCAATTTTAGGTCTCCCACTACATAATATGAAAAGAGTCAAGACAATTATGTAAACAACTTAAGTTATGATTAAATGCATTACAGAAAATAAACACCGTGAAAGCAATATGCTAAAACCAAGACTTACAAGAAAGAAAAGAGTTCTGGAACAAAGAAAAGAGATCATATTATGCTGGTCATTTAAAAGGCATTGCTTAGTTTGGGGTTTTTTGTGTTGCAGTTTTAAAAAGTTAAGAGACTGCCAGTGTTCAGAAACTAACACTAAAATAGAGAAGTAATAGCTCCTAATACTAAAGCATTTTAAATTCGGAGCAGTGGAGCAGGTAAACTCTAATCCACAAGAGTTTGGGAATAATGAAGTAGCATAATGAATAAAGGCAACGCAGAAATATATCCCGCTAAACAACTAAACTTACCGATGATATTGAAATGAAGATAATCAACTGTAACAAGTATAAGCTATAGTTAAAAAACTTTTCACTTAACGGATGAAAGATTACCCAATAAGAATTATTTTTTTTAGACCAAACAGAATATACAGTCTTTTAAAAAAGTTTCTTTCATGCCTCTTTTCACACCCATATATGAATCTCAATTGCTAAAATCATCTTCCTGCCCTATAAGCATATAAGCTTTAGCATACAGTTTGAAACCAAAGTACTCTCCCCACAAGATGCAGCAGAAGTCTTACCAAATCAGCACCAGCTTGAAGCAACACATCTGCAACATCAGTATGTCCATTTTCACAGGCATAGGTCAAAGCTGTATCTCCTGTCGCTGTGGTGGCATGAACATTAGCTCCTAGAAACACAACATCAGTTTTTTCTTATTGGACATCTCCTTATCAAGTATTTCATATCAGATAAACGCAAAAACCAAGGCACTTTATCTGTGACAACAGCTATATCCTACTGAGCAACAGCTTCCACAGCCCAAGGGCATTGCTCTCATGGTAAAAATTGCTCTCATGGTAAAAATACTCTGAGGAGAGGGGATAAGCCAAGGCATGGAAAAGGCATGACTGGCAACCTAAGCACTTAAACCTATATGCTCACTTATTCCTAAATTCCCTCTACAGCAATGAAGATTTCAGTTGTTACAACAAATAAAAGTGAATCCAGACAGTTGTCTAGACCATCCCTTTAACAGGGAGCTGCAAGCCAAGGAAAACCAGACAAAATGCATGTTATTGAATTAGTATTAATACTAAAAGACCACACACTTCTACAAATTTCATTTCTTCCCTGCTCTTTAAAATCATGTGCTTTAAAAACATTTTGTTGAAATAATTTGACTACCTTCATATATGCCAGCTACATGAAAACCACGCATGATTCTTGCTATATAATGCATTATTCTTAAAAAAAAAATGCCAATGTGATTAGCTATTTTCTTATTTTCAAGGTGTGAGATATATTTAGAGACTCCCTGATGCCAAAACAAGGCTCCCCAACTAACTTTATACATTATCAGAAGTGAAGTGCAAGCAGCATTCCAAGTGAGCTGGTGACGGGTGTCACATGCTGGTGTCACTGCACAAAGAGACACAGTTGTTACTGTCCCTCGATGAGCAGGGAGCATTACTTTCTAGAATTACAAGTCCAGACAATTTTATGCTTATTCTTAGAAAAGAACATACAAATAAATCACCTCCCATAACAAGGAAGATTTCCAAAATGCAGCTCCTTTTTATTTATTTATTATTTTAAGCAGTATTACTACACTTTAACTGACAGATGAACGCTGAAGTGTCATTTCCCCCCAACTCCAGCAAGATTTAATTTTTGCTACTGTATAATGTAGTAGTAAAACTCATTTATCACAGAAATTCAGCACATTCCAGAGTCTGTCTTGCACACTATTTCCCAGGACACAATTCCTAAAGTACTGGTTATTCAGAGAGACTGGCTGCAGATAATCAGGCTCAGTCAAAGCAGGAATAGCATACAAAAACAAGCATTATCTGTTTTATTATTTATAGATATTTATTTATTATCTGTTTTATTAACAGTTTCTCCTAAATGCAGTTAGCTGGAAACAATGTTCTAACAAACTGATGGGTTTTAGATATGCAACAGAATCCAGTGCTCCATGAGGCACTTTCCTCTGTTAACAGTAACAAAAAATATTAAGGTGTAACATATGCTTTTTTCTTCTTGCTAAGGTATCTGAGAAGATAGTTTCTTGCTACAACACTGCCACCATCCAGCCCAGGTATCATCTAAATCATATAGAACATAGTCTATAATACCTGTGAGCTAGATCATTTACACTGTACACATACCTGCTGCCAGCAAGTATTTCACCAATTCAAGATGACCCTCTTGAGCAGCTTCCATCAAAGGTGTTGAGCAACCAAGTTCTATATCAGCTCCTGCCTTAATAAGGAAGTCAGCTACTTCAGAAAACCCTCCACAACATGCCAGAGTAAGAGCTGTTTCCTGCGTTTCTTCTGTCTGTGCATTTATATTTGCCCCTAGGAAACAAAATAGCTGTTATTTTGACTGCCCAGACACAGGGTGGGAAGGTGAATGCTCATCACCTCCACAGTTTGGGTGTTTTAGCTTTGCTCTGTAGTTAGAGCAACGAGCAGTGACAGCCACACACTCCATCAGAGGAATCTGCACAGAATACCTAATAGCAAACGGTCAACACTGCATCTTCATAACGAACACTCAAGAAACGACAGCGGTCTCACCTTGTGCCAGTAGCAAGGCTACCATCTCTTCATGGCCTTCCCGGGCAGCTTCCATTAGAGGAGTATAACCTTCATCATTAACTTCCTCCAGGTTAGCTCCCCTTTCGATCAGAAGAGCTGCTAACTCCACATGTCCACCACAAGCAGCCAGAGTTAGTGGAGATTCAAATGAATCTGCAGGCATATTCACTTGAGCACCACTGTCTAAAAGCAAGCGTGCCACTTCCACATGTCCATCCTACAAAACAAAGGTGAACACGAAAATCAGAAACAACTGAAGTCGCTTGATGCTGTAGTTGCAACCACTATCATACTAGGTCTGAAAGTGATCCTAAAAAGACAGGGTCTTTTTACTTATGATGGTTCAATTTATGACATAGTTATGGTAATACTTGGATTAAACTGACATTTAGGTTTCCACCTACATCTAAGTTAGGTTTAAATGCATGAGGAAAAAAGAGCTAGATGTATGTTGTTTTTTTTTTTTTTTTTCTTTTTTTACCTTCTTGGGGGAGTAGGGGAAGAGTTATGGGATAAGACTTTCTTAAATATCCAGCAAAATACCTGGGACACAGAAGTAAGAGATAGCAAACAAGTACCATAAGTAATAAACCCACTCCCTGACTAAACCCCAAAACAAGCATCGGAAAGAAGATTTTCTTTTTCTTTGTAGTTGATTCATGGCGTCTACAGACAAAAAAAGCTCCAACTGGCAGTTTCTAGATCCTGGGGAAGATACCAGTTCAGAGAAACTGAAGTGGGTTACAATGAGGTAGGTAACAGGCGGAGGGAAGACTCAAATAAATCTTAAAGGAGACTGAAAAGTGTGTTGGGGTGAAGCAATCTTTGCCATAGAGGGAAGAGAATTAGAATTGCCAGAGCAGTCTGTTTGAGCCCTTACCAGTCAAAACATAAAGGCAGCTGTCAGCTTCTCAAGAAACTATTACTAAACTCCTCAAAGTTACCTGAAATAGACCAAGTACCAAAAATCCATGTTTCACCTAAGGTGTGGCTTGTAGAGAGCCACAATACCTCTGAAAAGGGGAAAACATAAAGAAGTTTTGGTATCAGGAAAGGAGAAACACTCACATGTTTCTCCCTCCCATATAACTTAAGAAACAGACCCAAACTTATGGAACAATTTGGAGAAGAAATGTTAGAAAACTGAAACAGATTACAAACTACACCTAATGAAGGGGGAAAGTTCAAGTCATGCAAAGAGTGCTCAGTGAGATATAGAAGGTCTGAGGGTCTAATCAGAGGACATTTCATAGTAGATCTTTCTTTAGCATATACAATTAAGGATAACTTAAGGATGGAAAGGGAACTCCAAGTAGAAGACTTGAATCGAAGCATGCTCTTTGTATCTCTCAGTGGAGAGAAAACACTTGCTGCCTTGCATACTGCAGGTGCATAGTACTAGGTGCATCACCTTGGTCGCTCCATTTGCCATCCAAAGAAATATGGGGTTCTTCCAGAAGGAGTAAACTGTCAGCCAGCTTTGATGATTTAGAGCCCTGTGTCCTGACACAGTGGTATTCCTGGGATTTGACAGTTAAGATGGATTACTTCTTTAAACTAGCCCCAATGCATACTGACAGATTTTGCTAGAGAACTAAAGAATCCTTCTTCCTGAGGAAAACATTAAAAGGGCAATTTCAGTGGCAAACAGCAGAAGTTTTTATGTTGTGTCCTTGGAAGGAAATCTAAATAAAGTTGGGCAGTACTAAAGGGCAAAAAAAAGACATTAGAAGACCTCTCTGCCCAAGGTTCAAGCCAGAGCTGTCCAGGCTAGGGCAACTGATACCTAGGGGTGATTTATAAAGTTATAAAGCTAAGAATTCCACTAATTCCCAAAATTAAAGAACTTCTTAAGTATTAAGAACAGCAACCTCAAGTGAACTATCAGTTCCCCATCCTGACCTCACCAGAATTGTCAGCCACTAACCCAAACAGCTAACACAGAGCTATAGAAAAGGGGGCAAGAGAGATATCAAACATGCAACTCCTGTCAACACTGTCTTAAGTTGACCACGAAGCAGGTAGTAAGTAACCTGAGATTGACAGCAATCAAGTCTGTAAATTAAAGACAGGCTGTTGTTCTCAGAGAAGCTGGCTAAAAGCCAACAACTGCCTCATCTAAAGCCAACAACTGCCTCATCTCATTATCCTAAGTGTGGCATTCCATCTTGACAAAAACATACTAAACTCAGAGGCACTTACAATATAATTGGTGATCAGAGACCAGACATCTCAGCTTCCTATATTTGCAGCATTCATGAGTTGGAAAACAGTGAAGACTGGGAAAAGTCACAATAATTTGGTGGAACAGTTCCCTTCTGCAAGGGTGCAGCCAAAAGATAACAAGGAACAAACTCCATCATTTGACTTGGAGTTGGGACTTCGAAGGATCAATTTCCTCTCTGTTGCTTTTCAAGGTCAATACACACTCCGTAATGCAAACTAGTCTGAAACATCCAAGAGCTAAAAGTGTACAGGCAACCCATACAACTTTATCTTCCTCAAGCGAGACACTTCATAGCCTCCAAGACAAAACAGTGCTCAGACTATATCACCATGAAAGGAAAAAAAGAAAAAAAAAAAAAAAAGACTAAACCTGAACAGAAGAGTGGGCTGATTAAAACATTCGGTTTGCAGTCATGCTGCAATCTCCTTTAGGTGACAGCATACACCCACTGCACCTGCGTCCTTCTGAATTCCTTATTGGCACTAGGCTCTCATACAGGGAAGACTATTCAAGGATACTATTACCATCTCACTATTGGAAGACTTCAACACATCTTGAGACATTATAATTTGACCTTGGTCACTTGCATCATCACCTCACAACTGCACTAAAAGCACACTTGATCCTCCAGCTCTCAGACAACCAGAGGAACATTGCAGCCCATCTTCTAAGGATTATAGGCTACTGGGAGCAAATTAAGTTTTCCCCCATTTGCTGTGCTTCCTATGGAAACAAGGTCCCTATTCTTTCTTCAAAGATGTTCCCCAGCTTGAAGAATAGATAAAAAGGTCACCTAAGGTCTGGACAAAAATGATTGCAGATATACTTTGACACAATAGCACAATCTTTATTAAGATGAAGCTCTTGGAGAGGGAAGTTTTTCCTCAATGGCTGCTTTGAAAGTTTTATATGAGTTGCCCAAGAACTAAGAACTAAACTACTTTTGACCTACTGTTTTATTTTCAAAAGAAAAACCTCACAGCACCATTTACAGAAGCCTAAAAAAGAACAAACCATCTCTACATGCAAAACACTTCCTGCAGTGGTGAAAGGACAAGTGTAATGCATTATGTCATCCAGCTCAGTGCACTTCTGGAAGGCTCATACCATGATGATCTGAGAGACCTTATTTACAAAGGCAAAGGTGGAAAACTAACTCTAACACTGCAAAAGAAACAGTGACTTGGGCTCAACCTACTACTTTACTGTACTGCAGATCAATTACCCCTACGCTTCACATAGGGAGCATTTAAACAACACATCACACCCCCAAAAATTAGAATAATTTTTCCCTATGACCAATTAGGCTGAGAAGCTGGCCACCTGTAGTAACTATAATAAAGGCTTTCTTACGATAAAAACTAACACACACTCACTTGCAGACCCAAAACAGCTTGTTAACAAAGGCTCACTTTATTTTATCATCTCTTTTCTTCCTCTCATTGAAAAAGGGAGCAGTACAAATAAAGGGTATTTACCATGCAGGCCTCCATTAGCGCTGTGTGCATCTCATCTGTTTTATGTTCTTGATCAGCTCCAGCTTCAAGCAAAAAACGAACCATATCTAAATGGCCTTCAAATGAAACAGATCAAAATAAATAAGCATTTAATATCATAAAATTTTAGCAGTACAGACAATACACTTAGTGAAATCATTTAGAATTTCATAGTTTGCTATTACAATTTTTACAAGTTATAATTCGAAAACCTGCTCTTTTTAAAGTACTCTAAAAACTACCAATGCAGAACGGACAGCCAGACTTTAGACGGTCTTTCCCAAAGATACTACCCAACGATGAGATGAAGACAGACCTCTCTAATTCAGGTTTACACAACAGGAACCTTTCCTTGTGACTTCAAGCTATAAAAGACTGTGCTTATTCCTTACTCAACTGTACAGTGACGTATCATTTAAGTGCTCCAAGGCAGCATACAATTGAGGGGGATTATCTTTTAGAGATAGGTCCATGTAGATCTGAACTTAACTTTAAGCTTTTTAATCATAGCTTTCACGGCCATATTTCTGAGAACTGATACACACATTATGTCACATTATGTTATCTGACACTATTTTTAAAAGCTTCTACTGAACTTTACCAATACTTGTTTTCAACTCTATTATGACTTTTGTCATTTTAGAATTTGTCCCTTGCAAGTTGTACGTTTTATCCTCTCAATAAGCACCCTCCTCCAAGACAAGACTTAGTTTTACATAAACTGATCGGAAAACAAGGTAGCTCAACCATCTTGCCAAAGATAATACAGGAAATCTCTAGTCAATGAAGATCTTGCATTACATCACTTATTAAGTTTGAGGTCACAAGAAACAAGAATGCCCCTCCAACATATTCAGGAGTACTATTACTGAAATTTCTCTGTAAGGAACTACTATATGCTGCAGGAAATCCATAACAAATCCAGATGCAAGTTTTCAGATGGGTTATACATAGTATGTATCCTCCAATTCTGACCACAGAGGTAAAACCTCTGTGACAACAGAGGTTACTATGACAATAATCCACATCCTTAAAGCTTCTATTAAAAACAATTGTTGGAAATTTTATGGAGGTTTTTGGAAGAAAAAACTTGGAAGCACATTGGATTACCATTGCACCAAGTTACTTTATACAGAAACTTTAAATAGCAAAAGAAATTAAGTCAGAAGTCCATAAAAGTTCATAATACATAACAACTCATAGACATCCTCCAAAATTATACTGAAGGAAAAGTATCCAGTAATAACACTAGCATTTTCACCCCATCAGGTATTCCAGGAACATTCGTTCTAATTTCACATTTTCCTAACAACTAACAAAGATGTTTTCAGAACTCGCAGAGAGTTGGTATGGGGAATCTAAATGGAAAAGAGAATGCGGTAGTGGGGGAAGAGGAGAGTGGAGGTGTGTCCAAGCACAAGTTTGGATTCAGCCAGTCACAAGTTTTCACCTGCAACATGTCGAATACATGTCCACCACATTTGGACACAAGTAGACAGGCTTAATACCACTACACCATGGATGAGCATTTCCTGAACTCGAGTTTAAAACCAAAATCCAGTATTCCAAAACTCTTAAGAAAATATTCAAAGTATGGCTGGAAGCTTTAGTTAGATAAATCCTAGTAAATAAATTTAAACAAAAACACAAAACAGGCAAGAGACAATACCTTTATAGCATGCAAGTGTAAGTGCACTTTCTTTGAACTCGTTGGAGTGAGTGTTGATTCCTGCACCATATTCCAGCAATACTCTTGCAACCTCAACATGGCCTGCGCTGGCTGCTTCCATTAAGGGCGTATGCCCATTCTCATTGTGGTCTTCTATATTAGCACCAGCTTTCAATAGCACCTTCACTATGTCAACAAAGCCCCCAGCACAAGCGTAAGTGAGAGCTGTGTTCCCTGCAGAGAAGACGACATTTACATGAAAGCTCTTTCCATCACCCACTCCTAATACAGGAAAGGAAATTAGTTTTAACAGCTCTGAACAAAACCAAGTACATCACTAGCAGCAGCCTTTTACCTCACAGCAATGTTACTCCAGCCAATAATTTCAGGCTGTGTATAAAATCCCAACACAACTATAATGTGAAAGAGTTTTAATGCTAAGCCAATATTACAAATCAGGATTTTTTTCTTTGATTATTATGTTTCCTGCTTCAGCACACAAAGAGAGATTAAATACACACACAAAAAGATCAATGAAAAATTCCATTGTGATGTTGGGGGGGGGGGGGGGGGGGGGTGTTTGGGGTTTTTCACCTAAGACTGTATCCTATAAGCCCTTGAAAAACTTTTACTGGCTGGATGAAAATAAATTTATAATTTAAAACACTGGTAGTGTAAGTGACAGACAATCACATATGGCTCGTTTTAAATGCTACAGTCAATTTTAAGGTAAGTTCTGCTTAATATGGCTAAACATCAAGATAAAAAGAACATTTCATAGTTCAGAGACCTGACTTCTTTAAAATTTGAACAAAGTTTAAATTCTATCTTAATATTAACAGAATCCAACTGCAGGTTAATACTCTCAGCAAGGTTAGTTAAGCTGTGGTCAAGCATCAGCAATGTAGACAACATTCAATGCTCAAAGAATTGTATCCCCTCTTTGGTAAAAAGCAACAGACCGAAATAACTGGTCTTGACCAGATGTGTCTCATGCTCTTCTTCCTGGGTAATTTTGGATTATACAGATGAGAAAAACTAAACTTCACATATTTTTCTGGTCATCTAACACCACAGTGGTTTTCACGGGAACAGTGCTTTCCATTACAGATTATATTAAAAACAATCTTTAATAACGGCCAGGTAAGACTCTCAACACATCTGCTATGTATCTGGCCGATTCTCATAGTCCCTGTCATGTTTTCTTGTGAATGAAACTATCAGACAAAAACACAGATGCTCAGAAGAGCTGCATGTCTTATGTGCCAGTCATTAATTCTTTGTGTTCCTGCTTCCCAGTTACCTGTTGAAGACTGTGCGTTGACATCTGCACAATGAACAAGGAGAAGTTTAACAATATCTACATAACCTCCGCTGGCAGCTGCCATTAAGGGAGTTATGTCTCCTTTATTCCCTCGATCTTCAACGTTTGCATGCATTGCTAGTAGCACCTAGAGAAAAAAAGTTCACTTTAATGAATAAATTCTAACACCAACATTTTGCTTTTAGTTCAGTGGGGCTTGTGAGAATGATTCCCCAGCCAGCCGTGGCATTCCCTCGCAGTAATACCCCAACGGTGAAGCACAATGGCACTCCCCAGGACCGTTTATAATTACTGCCTGCTCTGTGCTCTGCTTCAGGAAATGCTGTTTTTCTACATTTGTTCATATCTGCTAAAATCAACATTAAGTTACAGTGCAATACTGACATTTTCAAAAGCCACAGGGCAATTCACTAACCAGAATGACAGCAGAGAAACTGTAAACTTGCATTAATGACCACAGCACACATTGGATCAAGCTTACAGGTAAACAGTTTTCTCCCTGTACTCTTGCCTGGCACCAAAACATGAAACTGGCCACTTTCTGAGAACTATCACCTAAACATCTTCAAAGAAGCACAAATTCTGCCCTTAGATACACAAGTAGAAAAGCCAAAGATTAACACAAATTAATGCACTGTTGATAAAGATGTGATAAAAAAAGGATTGAGTGACTGAGACATGAGTTTTTAGAAGGTAACCACTTGTAGTGTTTGATTTTGCTGCTATTTTAGATCCTCTTGCAATGTCTGCTTGGCAGAACAGCTTGACTGCATCTAGAACAATGCCAGAAAAGTAGATACATCATAAAACACAAGATACATTCCTCAGACAAGTCCCTTAAACCTAAAGGCATATATATGACAGCATTTTCCATTAAGAAGACAAACGATAACTGGAAGCCCACAATAAGCTGTATTAACTGATACTCTGTTTAGGCTATAAAAAAATTATTATAATCAGAATAGCTAAAATGTTTACCTATCAAAGAAGCCCCTTAGACAATGCTTCACAAAGGTTTAGTTGTGATTATATTTGTTACTTACTTGTGCCA